GCATTAATTCATCACTCTTGGAAATTAGAAAATGTATTCTGAACTTACAAAGTCATACGTCAGATGTGACAGGGACGCTAAAAAATGGACCCCAAATTTCTGGAATTACCCATATGGAGCTCTTTCCGAAGTGATTCAAATTTGTAGCGTAAACTTGGAGTAGCACACATTTCTGCACAATGAAACATTGTGAAAGGCATGGATAGACAGAACATTTATTTCTATTTAATATGTTAAACAGTTTGAAATTCCTGAGTGGGTCGTTTAAACTGAAAGGCCAATGTCTTGTGTTGCATATTTTCACTTCAGATGTATGAAACATTCACATTTCTGGGTTCTCATGTTTCCGGACAAGCCAAGCAACAGGACACCATCTGCTAATGGTCTTTCTAAGTCTTGGTGTGCCAAGAACATGCACAGAGTTCTTTCAATTGTACTATAAAAACTTGTTCACTTACATGTACTTGGCCGCAGATGCTCACGTGAGGCTTTAAGCATTTCTCATGCAATGCCGATAACTGCCCACATCCTGTACCACCAACTCAGCTGGGCAAAGCCTCCTCAAAGACCACACCCTTCAAACTAATTGCATGCATGCATGCTTGGCTTTTTAAAAATTCCTTGCACATGGGTCACACAGAGCTACACATAAAGGAAACTGAACCAATGAATGAAGTTACCAAGTTAGATTGATGCATGTCCAGGTGAGGGTTGTGGTAGGTGTGAGGGGCAGACTGGACCAAAAAATTAGAAGGCAGGGTGGAAAGAAAAACCTGCGGGTGCAGTTAATAAGTCAGTAACTTAACTTGTTACTTGGAGAAATTGGGAAAACTTGGAAAAGTTTACTGTAGAAAAGTGACAAGTTTTCTCAAAAAGACTGCCAATTTTATTTGGAAGCATTTTGCAATTCTGATTACCTTTTTCTTTCTGCAGTTACATTTCAGTCTGACAAAACTTATCTTTGAGCATCATGATTTTTTTTTTTTGATTTTCGTTTTTGTAATTTTTAGTTTTTTTTTTTTAGTTATGGTGGCGCTCAAGTGAGACAGTCTGAGTTGATTGAACATGACGTCCACAAACCTTACTTGACAGTGACTGGTATCCTGCTGATGCTGGTGTACTGTACCATATCAGGCGCAGCAGGCGTGTACACCGAGTACATACTCAAAAGGCAATCTCAGGTCAGTCAGAACTCGCGTGCGTTATGAAGCCACACGTAATGCGTAGCTGCACCATAGCAACCCAGAGGAAATGCATGAGCCATAGTGAGGCTTTTGATTAAATGCAACACACTGCTGGGTATAAAAGTTTTGATGGATCTATAACAGAAGTTTCTGGGTGGCAAAACAAATTGAAAATTGGCAGAAAAGACTGACCCCTCAAATGACTTAAATAGGTTTTACCCTTTATCTGTTCATGTGAAACAGGACACTCGGGTAATAAGAATTGTAGTGTTAGTGTGTGTGATTTCGTTTAGATTGCTCTCCAAGTTTAGCCAAGATCTTTATATATTCAGTCACAGGCAACATCCAAGTTAGCTGTTTTCTCTCTCACCAAGTCTTGGGTCATTTTTGGGTTTTTTCAGACGCCTTTACATTTACAGAATATCCAGCTGTATTTATACGGTGTTTCCCTGAACATGCTGGCATTTTATTCCTCAACCTGGAATTCGGATCATGCAGCCAAGAAATTCTTTGATGGGTATTCACTATGGACAGTCATCATAATTATCTCTCAGGTAATTAATTTCCTTTGTGTTTATAGTAGGGGATATTAAAATACCGTGTGAATCCCTCTACATACTTTAGAGACAGTACATTCAATTTTGTAGGTCAACATTTCCAGATTTTGATACAGTAAAAATAACTTCTGTCTCCTAGCATGCTTCTGAAGCATAGCCCCCTGCCTTTGTCATACCGTACAGCAAAACCCTTTGGTAGCAAGAGAGCCCTCACCAGCTTGGATGCTAGAGTCAGGGAACCAGCTGTCGGATGATGTATTCAATGTTGTAGGCTAATGAGTCACACATTTCTGCCATTCCACATGCAAAACTGAACTGGGCATGCTTGACCAATGCCTGCAGCCAGGCATTACATCATACCTCTTGTATTGCGTCATGTTCTACTTTCAAGCAGTTGTGGTTACAAGACCAATAAATTGTTACGTCAGGGGAATCAGACTCTCCTAAATGGAGCCTGAGTTTTGCCATTATCCTCAACTTGGAAGCCAATTATGAAACTGCTTTGCTAGCCCAAAAACTCCATATAATTTATTCTAACAAACTAGTACTTTTATGACTCTTGCTTGGCATATGACTTGGTGAACTCGACAGCTCCATAAAAATTGTCTCGTGTTTTTTTCACAGCACATATTAAACCATGCTGTGTATCTGCACCTCTCAAACCATTATCAGCTCCCCCCGGCCCCCCATAAATGTGACCAACTCTGTGATGACGAGACAGAAGTAAGGCCACTGTGGGGTTAATGGCCCCGAGAGAATCTTACGAAATGTAAAATCAGAAGGAATCCTCAACATTTTTCACCCTCCTAGTATCCATTTTTGTCAGGATGCCACACTGAACGATACATCAAAACAAAGCACTCGGTTTACTCTCCCCAATACAAACTCAAACTCAAAAGTGGCTTGGGTGACTGAGCAGGTCAGAAAATGTGGAATCTTTCAACCATACCTGATTGAAACCTTGTCAAGTCTTGTCTGTCACATCTTCCCTCCCCTCTTCCCCCTCCCTTGGGCCCTTTGCAGGCGGTGATCGGACTGATCATGTCGGTGGTCATGAAACACGGCAGTAATATCATACGGCTGTTTGTTATCTCCTGCGCCATGATTGCCAACGCTGTCCTCTCGATGGTGGTCTTGGCCCTGCAACCGACGGCCAACTTCTGGTTGGCCTTTGTCATGGTGCTCTTCGCCCTACACTTGTACTACCAGAAACAGTCGTGTGTTTCATATTTAACAAAGTTCTTTCCAGTGTAGTTACTTCCCACCAGAGGTCATGTAAAACTATCTGCCCATCGGTATCTGGTTCGTGTGACATCACTGCACATGCACTGTATGAAGAATTACGTGCATTGATCGCCATGTACATGGAACCATGGAACCGGAAGTTAATGCACAACTTCAGCGATCGTCCAATGGGAGCTGCAAATCTTGGCACATTTACTTGTATGATGAAGTCACGAACCTTTTATAATTGTGGACAAGTAGTTAAATGGTTAAAATACTCATTTTTCTCAAACTCGGAACAATATGCTGAGCTAGAGCTTTTATGCTTTCCTTGACTGTTCCTCTTTCTTATGCCACAGATAATCCCAACCTTAAAACACCTTTAAACCTGTTTTGCCAGAACCTTGTGTGGACCTGCCTTAGTCCACACAAGGTTCGTACAACCCACATTATGTGGACCTCTTTTGTTCATGGGTCCACAGTAGGTGTGTAAAGTTGGTACACTCTGAGAAGTCTGTCGAGGTGGACCATGCAATGAACTTGAACATGGCTTTAAGTTTTTGCAGATTGCAGGAGGACCTATACAAACACATGTACTGTTCAAATAATTCTTGTAAATAAGTTTTTGTGGCTTTAGGCAGTATATCAAAAGTTGGACACTATACAGGATTTTCAGTCACGTGACTTTTGACGGTCAGCATTCAGTTTACTCAGATGGGCGCATTATGGGTGCAAAAACATGCGCCTTTAAAGTCTCTCATCTTTCTGACGTACGTGAAATTGCCAACTGAAATACCTGGACTCGAAAATGCATGCACCTCCACGGATATGGTGTGCTTCCTGAAATGCCTTTGCCCGTCATGTTACGTCGCATGAAAAACATCTTCATAGGCCTGCCTTGTCTTCTTGGAAAGTCAAAGTTATCGGCCAAAATATTATCACCAGCAAGTGGTTCAGATTGCAACTTGGGATATTTTTGCTAAAAAAAAAAGTGTGTTGCTTGTTTGCCTAATCTTGTGCTATGTAGCTGCAACATTCAATGGTGCATCCAGCATTTACAAAAGGGGGAGGAGTGTGCCCAACATGTGCTGGATGTCTTCCCCACCCCCTTTTTAGATCTGCAACTTATATTTGAAATAGATAACATCGGTTGAAGCAGTTTCATCCCGACAGGGCTGTTACTTTTGGGGAAGGGCATGGACCATGATTAACATTAGCTGTGGTCGCTTGGACGTTTTTTTTTACAATGGAATACGGTGTTGATATTTCATACTTTTAGTTCTGTTTGTTGAAAGAGCTCTAAGGTATGTAATATTATTCAGTATTGCCCTTTTGTATATATTGTGCAGCGTGTATGATATCAGAAATACAATTCAATTTTGAAATTTACAACTGACTTAAAGGACTCTGAAGAAGCTTTTCCTCAAACCGTTTATGTGGCAGGTAAACTAAATAGACTAGAGAGTCGTGGGGAATCTGTAGCAGGGAATCCACTACCGAAGTGGGCTGCCGTCAGTACTACAAAGAAAGCCTTGGCCAAAAATATAACTAAGCTTGAAAATTCCAACCCTTCTTTGAAAAAAAAAGGAGACAGCCTAGGAGTCAATTCCAATTAAACGCCGGAAAGGGTGAAGGCTTGGAAGACGTGAAACGCCCCCCCCCCATGGTGTACGGGGCATGTGCACGGAAAATACTGAAATCAGTGATGCTTTCGCACCTGTGTTAGCGCATTAGCGCTGAACGAGGAGTTGCTATTGGAACAGGAATAGTGCAACAAATCGAAAGATAGTAGTTGTTTATATCATAGAGATACAAACCCATATTTACATGAGCACCAAAGAAACGAAGGCAGACAACAAGGCCAACACAGGCAATGTAGCCTGCTCGCACGCACAGGGCGAACTGCTCGCGTTCAGTTGTCACTTTCTGCTTCCAAGACCTCGGTGTCCAACAACGCTTAGGCCTTAACATCTTGACGCAAATTTAGAGATATATATGCAATCATACGTATGAAGCCAACCACTAGCAAGGTTTGGACTAATACAGGGTGTCCCAGAAAAAAAAAACAGTGACAGAGGAAAACCTCATTCACTGGTTTATCCTAAGTGTTACAACTGAGTTTGGATGGCCCATTTTCAAGACAATGGTGTTCAGTCATGCATGACAGGAGGGATACCATCAAGGTATCATTAGAAAGAATACCGCTTGTACTTTTCGGAGATCCTTATACATTATGATCATATCTCATGGTTTGGGCACATTAACCCCTTTCCTCATGGTTTGTTTTTTTTCTGGGACACCCTGTAGTGTCCCTCGTCATACCGGAGTAATACTTCATGGTGGAAGGTGGCAAGAGGAGTTCAGCTGAAGCATATACAGTTCCTATTCAAATTTGCCTCGACAATTGATTCTCTTCTGCAATAGGTGGGAAATGACTGCGTGTCCACTTGCCAACATTGCCCACAAGGCCCCGATTTATCACGACAAAGTACACAGTGCCTAATCAGTCAGAGTGAAGATAAAATGGCGTTTGTTTTGCAAAGGACAGGGCCAGTTTGTTCAGGACATTGTTTCTCATCAGCAGCTGCTTAATTCCAACTGGTGCTATCAGTTATAAGGCAAAAGTATATTTTTGTTTTTTTCGGGGGGGGGTCTGGAGTCAGCCAATTGGGTATACAGGGTACTTTGTGTTCTTCATCTTCGTGTCAGAGTTAAACATGAATTCGAGATTGTGTGGGGGGGGGGTTGAATATCTTTCCAGCCATATCTAATAGAGGGACTGCATGGAGCGCCCTCACCATGCAGCGCCCTCACAGGGGACAAAAATCAGGTTTTGTTATTTAGATTTAATGACAATGAAGTACTGAAGGGTCTACTCAAGCATATCACAAAGGAACAGAGACCTGTCCTCTAGTGAGGGCGCTCCATGCAGCCCCTCTACAGAAAATCGCACCTGTACAGTTGTTTGAATCTGTCACTGACCGATAGGGCCTAACCTTTCTCTCAGTTTACCTCATATCCAGAATTTTCAGTCTTTCTTCAAGCACCCTGTGGGCTACACAATAATAGGCACTCCCGCAGATAGTATTGCTTTGGAGTCACGGGGAAACGAACAGAACACACTCAAGACTACCCACAGGTATTGCCCGCCTTACAAAAGATTCAGGAGATGCCTTGCCCACAGACCTATTTTAAGCACTTGCCCACTGTCCGAAAGAACGGTTTCCTTCTTTGAAAACCTTCCAGATGCACAAAGCTCCCCAGACGACATACCGAAAGGTCGCGCATGGAAACCTGAATGCTGAATTCCACCTTATGCCCCGTGCATCGTCTACCGCAAAAAAGTCCATACATGGAGTGCATTTAACGTGCACACCGGAGACATTTGAGTGATTTGACATTGTTTTCATTTCAGTGCATTGCTTCCCGTTTTCTTGAAAATACAATCATGCTCTAAACCTGGTTTGACTTTCACGAGAAAACAGGAATCAAGCAAACCCTCATACATGTCTTAAAAAGATCTAAAAAGAATGGATCTTTGGTAGAACCCGGGTAAACAACACTACTGGTTTAGTAGTGATGTGTACATGTAGCCCTACACTCCCCAGTTCTCCATCTCTGATTGTTCCCGAGTGATGCTTTGAAGCGGAATTGTACTCTTGGCTGAATGAAGCCCATGTGCAATAATCGTTTTGCAGGTCAACTTGTCTGGAATCGTGTCGCAATACAGGAGAGAGGCATTCAATTCAAACAAGAATCGATAGGAATTCAGACTAGCAGACACTGAGAGGCCAGGCTTTTTAAAAATGTTAGCATTGACAACAACGAGTCCTTTGAAATGTCATCCAGGCGCATTGCCTCTTTGTTGTTTTGCCATTGCAAAGTAGATTCTTGTGTGTGTTTAGGTTAAATTACAGAACTAAGCTTCGAAGACCAGAGGAAGATGATAGACGGTGGGGAAATATTTTTATACCGCAGTCACTGATATTGTTACTTCCATTTTCAACGTTTCGATTTTGTTTCTATCGGCGCCTCAAATTTGCCCCTAAATTTTCCATCCTGTTTGCATTCTCCGAACTCCACTTCGGCTTCTGGTCTTACTTCAGGAGTTGACTGCAATAATCACACGATACCGAACCAAGTAGTGCATTCATTTCTTTGTGGAGAGCAAAATCTAACAACCAAAATAGACTTGTAGTAACAGACAGTATCGCCCAAACATTAATAAAGGCTTAATTCACTTGCCCGAGGAAATAGATGGAATCTTGTTGAGCGAGCGTTATTCGAGGAAAATCTCACGGTCTGAAGATCGAATCTACATCATAGTACATGATTCACATTATTGTATTTAAACCTTACAGGCTCACTTTTCCTCCATGGGTTCAATAGAAATGAAAGTGTGTGAAGAAAGGAACCGTGTGCCATTCGGAAGCACATGACTGAACCCTTTAATGTGCGGGGATAACCCTGCCCTGGATGATACATGGCAGTGGAGATAATGTACTTTTCTCTTCAAATGCCATTTTGCTGCAGGGTCGCACTTCTTGATCTTACAGCTTCAAGACCATCGCTCAACCCGATTATTATAGGCTATTTCAAGACGATCAGAATTCACGTTGTCATTCCATGATCATAGTTTGGCTGTTTTGTGGGATACAGCAGCGCTTTGACAACCAGAAACTTGGTTTTGATAAGAAAGTCTGTTGATTTCATTGGCAAATGCTTTCCTCCAGGCTTTGTATCCCAGACGCATTTTGTTCTGCGTGCACCTTCAAATTTGTCGGATTTACAATAAGGCGAGAGTATGTTATATGGAAGTTGATATTGCCATTCGAAACCTCTGCAACTTGTCGCTCTGTAAGGCTAGCCGGAGGATAAGAACGGCGACGCCGGTGGAAACACGGCCTGTTCCTCTCTGCATTGGCGCCATTTCTTTCTGCCATCGTTCAAAATTCACAACTGGATGCAAATCTTTATGCATTTCTTAATCATTTTCATAGTCTACATTTGGGCATTTTTGGCCCGGTTCAGCAAGACCTTCAAAAGCGTTCGCTGGTGTGACTATTTGATTATTTTGTTAGCCTACCCTACACTCAAACTAAACTGACATTCACTGAGCGACAACGGCTTGCATGATCTCCTCGAGCGGTCTTCAAAATGTACGAATATGCGAGTAACAATTATAACGTTACACTTTTAAACAGCTGAACCGATAACGTATCCACCGAACAAATTTTCAAAACGTATACAAATACCAAACAAACCTTAAGTCATTTAACGAGAACAGATTATGTTAGCATTTGATGAGAAATTCCATTCTTGCACGACATAAACTGTATCTAAATATCCTACAGCTAAGATGTATTCCTACATTAAATCTTGGAAAGGAAATTTTCAATTACATCATTTATTTATTTATTTGTGTATTTGCCAGGGGTGGATCCGATTTTTTGAGGGGAGGGGAAGGTCCCTTAGATTTTTTCCTATAGTCCAATTGTTGCGGACAGACGGGCACGTAGGTAACGCATGTAGGAAAAATAACCCTTTAGAAGATATTATCTTTTTTCAGTAATACTATCATTGTTTTAGATTTGTTTATTCTCTTTTGTGTGCGTGTCAGAGCAGGGGTTTTTAGTGTAATTCGACGACCAGAATTAGAAATCATTTCTGCGGTGGCACAATACTCGTGGACAGATGAAACGCGCGCGTTACACGTCTTTTCGACCAACAGGGTGTCGTGATTTGCCATATGCACGCGCGCGTCAAGCTGAAGAATGTGCGTGTGAGTGCGGTGCCACCGCAGTTATGGCGTCTAATCGGATTAGTCTATACCCCAACCCCTTTCTCCCTGTGAATTCGCTTCTGTTGTGTCTTATCTGCTAGTCTGGCCGTCTGCCTATCAAAAGCTTCCATATCCTTTGGTTTTTGGTACGGCTAACCTTTGTAGGTCTATCTTTGTTTCTTTCTCAGCCAAGTTTAAAATTGCTTGCTCGTTGTATATCGGCCCACTCGCTTGGTTGAAATTGACTTCGTGTCATTATGGTCTGTTACTGGCCATCATGTATTCACCCTCTAAACATAAAAACAGTAGGCCTAAATGAACGCTGTAAGAAGTCTAGTCTACCTACAGCATTGTAGTTATGACACAGATAATGAGCAAGCAGACGGCGTCATAACCGACATTCACGAAATAGGTAGACCAGCCTGTGCCCTGGAAGCTCCTGTGAGGAATCTGCAGCAGGGCTCCCGCTACCGACACGCGCAGAGCAAAGTGGATGGCCTCCTCCACAGTCACCACTCCAAAGAAAGGCCTAGCCGAGGAGAAAGGAGAAAAAATAAAGTCTGAAAATAGGATCAGTAGATGGAGTCTTGCTTGCAAATATATTTAAAATAGTGCTGTGGTTGAGATCAGAACTCGAAGTTTCATTAGACAGTCCCGAGTAATAACAAGGTAAACAAGAACACAAGAATATTTTGCTGCAGTTCATTTGAATAGCTCGTGACTTAAATTGAGACTGGAGGTCTTGTGCTGTCTTGTGATGGTCTTTAAGGATCTAAACCACAGCACCGGTTTAAGAGAAGAATCAGCCGTGGTAAACTGTAACGTCATACCTGAGCGTTGCAGACATGAAAGCTGACAGAGCGAACATGGCCAGGAACGCCAGAAGGAACGGAGAACTGTCCGTGTTCTTGAAGTCCTCCCTTTTCTTTCCGAGACCTCTCATCCACGGCTCGGCGAATACATTGTACCAGAACGCCCCAACGACTTGGGTGACGACTGTCCCGACTATCACTGAAGTTATGGTCATGGTGCTTGAAATACCTTCGACGGTCTCTAATGATTGATTGTCACCTGCGATTTCAAACCACAGGAGTTTTCTGAAAAGCTGACACTTGCTAACTGATTGCTGAAAAGACAAAAACCCAAGAGACAGCAACATAATGATCTGTGAGCTTTTGAATGTGAAACATGCACTCCACTGACATCGTAGCTGGAAACGTTTCTGGGACCTTGTTGGAAACTGGGAACAGGGGTGAAGAGAGCGACGGGAGGATTGTAGAGGTGGAGTGGCCATCACTGGTCGACAATGACCGCAATTATGCAGTGGCCCCGCCGGGAGGGGAGGGGGGGTAAAACACCTCATTCGATGGGTGATGATAGGTGCTCCTTGCGAGGACATTCCACCAGGTGACAGGGAAGAAAGAATAACTATAGGGCTGGATTCGGGCTGGTACCTGTTGGTATATTGTTTGATGATAATTATGATCTTGTGAGTGAAGGAACCGAGTCAGATAGGGGTCAGGGTTGAAAGCAACAATCTGATGTAGGATCTTACACAAAAGAAGTAAAGTAAACAATTTACGTCTTTCTTCTTTACGTCTTTCTCCAGTGGAGAAGACAATTGGAGCTTCTTCAACATGGCTGTTATTATCTTGGGTGTCGATGTCTGTTTAGGATGTTGATATCCCTCAGCGAAGCGACTCTGTTGTCACGAAGCATTCGCAGAGAGAATTGCCTGCGTTGAAATGTGTTTAACTTTTGCGAATATGATGACTCGGAGGGCTGACGTGGCAAACTTGCTTTCGCGTTCACGCCCATATTACTGGCACAACTAACGATACCGTGCACGATATGGGGCCGATGGGTACCCCCCACATATCCAATCCCTATACACACTCTAGACTATTGTTACCTTACACATCCCCCCTAGAAGTCTGTAAAGAATTCCTGAGATTCCGATCAAACAATGACCAACACGAAGGCGGAGGGAGTTCTCTCCGCCCCGTATCTTGATTGTATGATGGAACTAATCATGGAGGAATAAAACTTCTGAACTAACTGACCTGAAAGACGAACACCTGCAAAATGTGACCCATTGTTAGGGGAAAAGCACAGCATTTATTGTGTAAAAGCCTCTGACCCTTTAACAAAAACAGGCCAACTGAAAGCTCATGCGACCGGACGCCACTTTTACAAGAGAAGTCGTCCATGCGAGATGAAATAACGGGCCCAGTTGTCGTGCATGAGTATTTTTGCCATGAACAGCGCAGCAAATAAATCAGACATGGGAAAATCCAGCCCTTCGCTGTTGTGGGTCGTGACACCACGGCTCAGTTATAACAAGTTTCGTTTTGGACTTCAAAGCTACGTGCCCGAGCACATTTCTTCCCATGCGCTCAAGCATAGTAGAGTTCACAGGTTCACACCTTTTTTAATAGAGGTCATCATGCGGGAATAGGCTGTTATAACAAATTATGTAAATAGGGATACAGTGGGCCTTGAGCCTTGAATGCAACGTCTATCACACAACCGGGCCATAGGTGCATTCGAATAGCTCCAACTACGTCTAGTCAAGTCTTTGCGGCTGAAGTATTCACGACAGTTTCGTGTGCTTTGCATACGGCAGACACAGCCATCGGGTCAAGGTCTCACCGTGGAAGCTAGTCAAACGCACTTCTTTGGCAATTCTATCCCTCCCATGAAAAACATTTCAAACCGAAAGCTCAAACAGAGCATCATAATAATATACCGTACCTGATTCCTTTAGTTGGAACACGGACCATTTACACATCGGCTTGCTGAAGCAGTAGACTGCGAGTTGGCCCAGAATCCACGCTGGACGGTGAATATGCCCCTTGTGTGTTCACCGTGTGCAGTGTAGGTCAAACTATTTTTGGGAACCATTCTCCCAAAGTGATTGTTTACAATTCGGAATTTCAATTCAAAAAAGCATTGAGGCTTTCTACCGGCGTCAACTCGGTATAAAGTGAACTTTGGTGTTGACATTCAGACTGGCCATACGTCAATTTAGTTGCCACATGACCTAGAACACTCAGTGGATACAGTAAATGGCCTATTTCCTTTGATCTGCTGTTTCTCTTCTTGATATGCTGAGCTGAAGACCACGAATGTAAATTCGGTCCCTTAAACTATTGCACGAGCGCGAATGGAACACTTTAGTGCGTCTGTGACCCATATTCCACTCAGCCTTAGGGCCTCGTGGTAGTCGCTCTATGCACGGTGCCGCCGTCGGCATGCACAGCCTCGATCTGGCAGCTTTACACACTAAGGGTACAGTGGGTACAGTTCACTAATTCAAGCCCCATTGAAAACAGTGTAAACGGAGTAACGTTTGGGGCCCAATAACATGCATACCAACATCACTGAGATTTCTGAAATACAAATTAATTTAATTTCTGGTCCCCAATCTTTCAATTTCTTTTCAATATTTTGTGGGTTAACCAATTACGTTTTTAATTATTCCCACAAAACAAAATCACCCCCGAAAAGTGATGTTTCCGAAGTCTCATTGCAGCCATTTTCAAGTGGCAACGCTCAACTTTCTCAGGCACTTAGGACCATTTTTCAGTTGTAGTTTTTAGCCATTCTGCTCTCATATGAAAGTTCAAACACCCATCAGGGAGTTGATCCTGGCAACGATTTACACAATCTCACCATTTTGTGGACCCAACAATCTCCTTTTTTGAAAGATATTGTGGGGACACCTATCGTGAATTGGTGGACTGCACCCATAGCAACAATACACAAAAAATAGTCTATTCAGTGATTTCCATGTAATTTGCTTAGTAAAATATGAAAGAGCTGCGTAGCACCATGATCAGAATAAAGACAAACTAAAATATCAGTTCTCTATAATTTATGTTATATTTTTGTCAATGTTGCTTAGTAAGTTTGCGCATGCTGCGTTAGTTCTTATACCATAGAGTACCGAATGTGACGTCACTGTGAACCAGAAATTGCAGTGCAAAAGAATGGAGTAAGCACGCATGTTGGTTCACACGCTAATTCTCGCGTTAATGCCTTTAATTTCAAACTCCCACCTTCAATACAAACGCATGCGCATATGCACTGCATATGAATTTTACCATGTTGTTTTCAATCGGATTTTATCGGTACCAGATACTTTCGACACGGCCGCCGCTCCAGAGCCGTCAACTCGTTTTACACTGACTGAATTAAGGGAACGACTTTTATCTAGCTGAACTTATTCATCGAAAGACAGCCATCAAACGACCTTGCTCAAATGTTAGGGCAAATTTTGCTTCAAATAATCAGCTATGAATGTAAATAAATATGTGCCGTACATGTGCGCCTTATTCAAAAAGACGCACTTACATTTGCGCATGTTGTACTTGCGCGTTAATGCATATAGAATACATAATTCGCACGCACATGGATTCAAAATATCTGCGCCCAGGACGGCGTCAAATTTTCTCCACGCGGAGAATGAGAAGTTAGCGCTCTAGTTATGGCTGTATGGCCTATACGCAGGAACCTATGACAATTAATTCTGAGGGAATCCTAACCCATCGTCTTGGCGATGGTAGCGGTATCCATTGGGCCCCGAGCTGGACCAAGAGAGGGTGCTATTCTCTAAGCAGTGGAGGTTTCTTTGGTTAGAACCGTCTCTATAATGGAGATCAATGGCCAGAACTGAACTTTGCTGGTGTCATAAACGCTAAGGAAATGTACACGTCACCGTCGCAAGGCTACCAACAAATCGAACACTCCCGACCAACGCAGCTCCTTTCAACCAATGGGGGGCGGGTGCTTCTGCTCAAGTGCAATAACGAATGTGTACATGCACATCTTGGAGTAAGACTTTTTCCAGTTAAATTTCAATAAAATGTGGTACACTGAGTTATTCAAATTTATGTGAACATAGCAATTAAAATTTTCCATACTAAATACACTGTTGCAATACTTAGTCACCGGGCATGCAAGCTTTTGCTTAGTTACTTAAAGAAACATCTCGCACCAACACAGTTTTAAATGGATGAGAAGGGCACAAGGAACCAGTCCATTCCAGAGATGGTAGCCGCTATGCAAAAGCTTACCCAAATCAAGAGTTATAACAACAGTGTCTTCAGTTTGGTGCATTCAAATTGAGATGATTCAGTGTGCAAGATTTTTTTCAAATTTAACTCGCGAAAGGCTTGTTGGTTCTCGCCAGGTTTTCCAGGGAGCATGAGGTTTGAAGTGATAATTATTATATGCCCCATAAGGGTCAGAACGCAAGACTGATAGAAACAAGTTTGCATTTAGCTTTTTGAAAATCAAGTTTAGCATTTTTTTCCATGAGACAGTTTCTAAGGTCAAGCTATGTACACTTTCAAAATGTAAAGAGAGGCAGACAAGACATTAAATTCTAAAAACTTCATTTCCCTTGGTTGGGTAGAGAACTGCTTTTTGGATAATCGGAACAGTCTGTACCCGAAGCACTTATTTCTCCAAAGACCAGCCCCTTCGGTTATACCCAAAAGTGAAAATCCTTACAACCGTTACTTCCGCACCTTCTCTTGTACAGAATTGAAAATCTGCAGATTTTGAAACATTTAGGGCTTTTTAAGCGAGAAAAGTTCAAGAGTCTGTTGTTCGTCAGCCGATGAAACTCTCCTGGTACGGGATTACCTTGACAACAAAACACCTCGGAAATAAACACACGAAACACCAGAAAACTTGCACTTTTTTTCTAAAAAGTACTGTATTAAAAAGATGACATACCCAAATGAGTTGTCCTCATTTTATATAATGATGATGACGACGATGATTTATGATAATGATAACAATAATGAGTAATTTTAATAATGATATTCTTGGCACCACGTATAATATTTACAAAAAGAATCATCTCGAGTAGTCTGTAACATCAAAGTTAGGTCACGTGGCTTCCCGCCATGCATTGTCAGTAGTCCAAGGAGGTTTACTGAAATCAAGACTACAAAGGTATTTTCTTTAATCTGTTCCATCACTGATATAGATGTCTGTAAATCTTACTGCAACGATACTAAGTTGATGTGTAATTCTGAAGGGAGGGCCAGGTAGAGTGGCACACAGTAATATAGATTGTATTGTGAAGTTCAGGATTTGATAATTGATAAAGCACTTGGATTTGAATGGCTGGCATGCCATTTGCACCCACATTGCGTTTCACTATTCTCCAGGTAATCCTACACCTATTTAACACATGACAGTCATTCAGAAGTTTACAGGGCCATTATGTACCATGTTTAAATTACGAATGTTTAGTATCAGTGATCTGTTTCACTGCCACCAAAAGGAAAAGGGAAGAAAGTGTCATAATCCTTAAGGTAACGTCGCAAAGCCTGGTCAAGTATTACTGTCTTTATTGTCTCGCAATGCATGGCGGGATATTTTAACAGTCCTTCACCAGGAAGAAACGAAAAACTTTACTACCATATTGTCGTAATATCGATCACTGAAAATAATTCACATACAGTAGTTCAAAGTAAACGTGATACCACCGTGGTAAATAGAAACATACTTGCTGTGAAAGCGAACACGAACGCAAAATGTAACGCCTGATCAAATATTTGCGCTGCCAAATCGCAAGAGTTGAACACATTTCAACCCAACTGAATCTCCCTGCGAATGTTTCATGACATAAAACTCGCTTCACTTTCGTGTTCGCCTGTAATATGGACCGTACTTTTAAGCTTATACACAATTAATGGGACAGATTACTCACCGAATTAAGACCAAGTCACCTGGTCGACACAGTTTTTAACAGTACACCGCCCTTGCGTGTATAGTGTATAGACAAAAGATCAGCAATGTACACGGTTAACAACGCTAAGCTGCCTGAATATAATATTGTGGGTGCAGTAAAGCGTTTTGAGCCAACGAATGATACAACAGTGAATGCCAAACGGGTGTAATAACAGTAAAGTACAGTAAGAAAAATAATAAAAATCAAGTGTTCAAACCAAACTGTGTACCGTGGACTTGAATTAATTCGCTTTTACCACAATTTGATTTTGAAAATTGCGAAAACGAAAATTGATAACTAATGGGTCCCTCGGACCCTTTTCAAAAGCGTGGAGTTGACCAATTGAGTTATTTTTGACGGTCCTTCCTTTTTTGACGTGTTCCAAACCAATATTGCATTATCAAACACAAAATGGACCGTACCTTTGGGGAAAATTTCAAAACCACCTTGTCACCAAAAATTCTCTGTTTACGGCTTTACCTAATGAAACCCAACTGGTTACACAATCGTGTTAAAGAAGCATGAACCAGAAAGAATATCCACGTTTCCCTGAATGAGGTTGTGCAGAAAAGTGATTTGAATATGAAGTATTGTCAAACAGGCTCCACTTTATTAAGCACTGACGTCTTATGCAACAAATTATTCACTATATAATTGAAAACTTCAGCTGTGAAATCGTATTTTGAAACAATCCAAACCACGAACGGTATAGATGCCACAATTAATAACTTTCTTTGCAATTCAAATCGTGTATAACGTCATCCAGCAAGATTATAAAATGAAGGCACATATATCGTACATTCCATATATAAATATGTATGTACAATTGATATATACATACATACATATATATAGCGAAGAAAATAAGGAGTTGTAGAGTTCTATACATTTTGGTATATACATATATTTATGCGTATATACATATACGTGACAATTGATGACAAAAACTGTAGTAACCACGAGGGAACTATTTCAGCCGGAACACCCATTACATGTATACACAAGGAAACATTAATTTGAAGAAAAAAAAACAGTGCTTTTACGCTGTATTCCATCCGTGAAAACAAATGACATTTACATAACCTACCAGAGCATTTTGCTTTTATAAAGACGTCACCTTACTTCGCATTCAAATTTGTGCAAATGAACCAGCATGTCAAATTATCAAAGTAAATTCTGATTTGGATGTTGCTCCTGATTTAAATATACTGATGTGAAAACTGCCCCTTATTGAATGAAACAGCCAAACATAGCGTGTCCGATTCAAATAGCAACAAACACGTCACTGACTCCGTGACCTGGTATCCTTTGCGTATTGTCGGGCGTAACAACAAATGGCGTTGGATCTCTGGTACAAGTGACGACTTATTTGAACTTGAAAACTCTCAGATGGTTGGTCATGCAAACACAAGCGAAACCAGTGGGAACCTGGAACCCGGTTGATTCCAAAAGAAAAACCTCAAGTGAAAGGAGAAGGTATATTTGGAAAAGGTAAAAAAAGCCACAGACTAAAACAGAGCTGTCACTTATAATGATGCAAATAATACATACCATGATGCGCCCGGTTAAAAATCTAAAATACCACAAACTTGCTTCATCATAAAAATGATTTACATGACGACGTATTAGCAAAGACATTCTGAAACAAAAACTGCATGCATTTATAAAAATTGCTGTCTTCTATCATACTCGGGAAATAAATGAAAAGAAATGTTTTTAGATGCATTTTGTAGGTTATGAATTTGGGGTAAACTCGGTTACTGTTTCCTTTGCTTACTTTCAAACCACACAGCAACATACATAGAAAAAAAATTAACACCATTTAAATCTACAAACAAGGAATGTGCTACCCTCCTCCGCTTTATCACAGTATACAAGTAACAGTTGAGGTCGACTTTGTCCGTCCACATCTGTGTTTGTCTGTCAGTAACGTCTATTCTGAGTCAAGTCTGTGCGCAATGTGTACATCAGAGGCACATGTCCGTCTGTCAGTCTCCATATCGGTATGTCTTTTCTAATGGGACTGTTTGACCTTCCAACCCAACCAAAGCCTTTTTTGCATAATGTTTGCCATACCCACATTACTGTGACGTCAACAGTTCGTTGGTAAACGTTTGTCTGACGTAATGTTACGTCACATAGTACGTACGAGTCAAAAACAGATCTTTGTCACCAAAAAGGTATCCTTTATATAACGCCAGAACAGTCCGTAGGGAGAAAGACATTTCACTCATTATAAAGCTTACAAAATCGCACGTTTTCCTTTAAGAAACTGTTGTAAAATGCTGAGAGATAGTCATACACCTATTCGACAAAAAATCCAAAAGTTTGTTCGGTTTTCACCCGTAAAACGAATATACATGTACAGATTCGGCATGTATATACTTACGTTCCACCGTACACTATAACAATCAAATCTTTTTATTTTACAATATTTTTATTATTTTTTTAAACATGTGCATAGGTTTTGAACTTTTCCTTTAAGAGAGCAAAGAATTTAACAATGGAAGATGCAAATGCTATACAGCCTCTATATGAACCGTATGAGTTTTCCATAATAAGATGCAGAAATGGTATACATCAATATATCAGAATCAATATTCTAGTCTTTGGTTAGTAAAGAGAACGACTAGTTGAAGTATGAAATTGAACTATCAAATAGAGAAAAGTGCGCCCTTTACTCAGTTTGGATTTTTTCCATCTAGTACCACGTGGATTAATTTCGTTTCAAGTATTCTTGGAAAAGAAAATCGAAAAAAAAGTTTAGGCCCTAATGCTTACTTTCTGTTATGTCTAATTGCTGCAAAAATCCCCGAAACGTTACTGAAATTCGACTATCCTAACAAGATAAACGTGAATTTTCAGAGCGTGGTTTTAGGTGTATTCAAAGAAAATAAATTCGAACTTTCGCAAATATTATGTAATCTACCGTCCCCGGCAATTTTGTTTAATGATATGCCAACCAGTGGATCATGAATACCATGCCGTTATGTAGCCCACTGAGAACTGGAGCGCGTACAGTAACATTTGCATGCAATGGTTTCGCCACAGAAATTCACACGGCGTCAATTAAAGGGCAACAATCATTGTATTTCTGCGCTGTGCACAAAAGCAATACACTGTAGCCAAGCATTCCATTTATCAACAAACAAACCGAAGGCTGTGTGCATGCGGACAAATATAACGTGGCCCCGCAATAAGTATTACAAATGTTCACTACACACCGACTCCCAGTAAATATAGTCAAGAAAAACCCGTACAATTGAGTAAGGTTTTAGTGTTTTGGAATTACACAAACATCACGTTGTCCAGTTTTATTAACCAATCGTACATAAAGCCTGCACGAGTAAACTGAAACCATGATGTCCAATCTTACCCCACGAAATCTGGAAAAGGAACATGCTGATGTTCGACATTTGCGCACCACGCATGACAGGCGGCACTTCTCCATGCTAGCACACCACAGTCAGACTGGGTCCGAATTGCTTCGCTGCGGCTTGAAATTATACGAGTTTACCGGGTAGTGGTCGCCCAAGGAATTCGGATACTGCCTCATATTGGGAACGAGGGCACACGTTCCGTTCTGTAGAATTTCCCCCATGATGCTTTGTCTGTGTGGTGCACAGGCCGCTCTCCAACTCAAGGATGGATCCAGAACCAAATTTTTGTGACGAAAACTGTGGGTTTCTGTTAGGGGGGATCGGGCATTTTCATGTAGCGTTTGGTGGCCTCTCTAAGGGGTCAGGCTACATTTAAGGTTTTTTTTACATGTTCTCTGAAGGATGGGGATAAAATAGACCAAAAGTTCACCTTTCTCTAATCATTCCACCACCCAAAGATATGTGGCTCCTACTTTTTTGGGGGAGGGGGGTATGACCCTCTCCCCCGGACATGGACCGCCTTCCCCAAGGATCCACCCATGCTCCGAATCCTCGGCCTGGGCTGTATAGATTACCGAAGTGTGACGTCATTGTGAGCCAGAAAGTGCAGTGCAAACGAATGGAGTACGCACGCCTGTTGGTTCGCGCGCTGGTTCCCGCCTAATGCCTTTTACAGACAATTGTGCGCGTATTCACTTATGAATACCTATGAATACTCTCGTTTGTTCAGAAACAGCTCGATTTGTTGTTCGTGGGTCGTTCGCTCGAACGCCAGGAATGTACAACCGGTTATTAGCGCTGGTAGTTATCTGTGGCAAGCAACATGCAACATGGCAGCGTCCTTGTACATTCTTCGAGAGTTAATGTTGGATAACTGGGCTAACTTCTTTTCCATTTAAAAAATTCATTTCTGTCATGGAAAATTATTAATGTTAATTTTGCAAACTTTCCATTGTCTTCGACTTTTTAAAGCCATATCGGTACTTTTTGCGGCTGTTCAAAAATCAAATCTCACGAGTTTTTCCATGTGTTCGAGTGAAATCCGGACGAGGAGGTGGTATGTGATCCTGTTCCCGAGAACAGCGTTTTTCGGTCGTGTTCCCGCCGTTCGAGCGCGAGAAGACGAAACGCGTGTCAAGAACGGACCCCGAACTCGACCATAGAGTATTGGAGTGAATAAGTCACGGGCACTACTCTGTGACTAAAAGGCATTACGGCGAGAACCAGTGTGTGAACCAACACGCGTGCGTACTCTATTCGTTTGCACTGCACTTTCTAGTTCACAGTGACGTCACACTTCGGTACTCAAAGGCCTCAGACATGCATTTTCCATACATGCATGTGTAAGCCCATAGCCGTAGCCAAGTAAAATTTCGGAAGCGGCCATAATTCCGCCAAAGTCTGTCTGCCAATGAGAGGCAGTCATCCATTATGAGCATTCATTATGAAGTTTACGATACACCAGGAGAATGGATTGATCCATACAGCACGCATTCATACCGAAGGGAAAAGTGCCATTTACCCACAGCTGTCAAGAGAGTTTATTATTATCTTCATGATTTACTTTCGTCAGCAATATGTCGTCGTGACATTACCCAAGATACACCAACTTTGGGCATCTCTCATCAATGGGCGCATTCTTTGTTATGGATTATACAGGCGATGAAAAGTGTTCAACAGTGAGCATTAGGGATTCTACTGTTGCTGACGTCGGGACTGCTGTAGGCGCGTGACCTTTCGACCTCTCGCTCCAGATCTCGGCGCAATGTGGACTCCTCAAACGACGCTGAAGCTCCCTGCGCGGGGAAGGAGCGGAGTCTAAGAGACTTGGCCGGCTCGGAGGGCGCCGTCGAATCCGGAGTCACCTCCAGCACGAACGGGTTCCCCGAACTGTGCACCAATGGCGGACTCTCCTCCACGTGTTTCTGCACCTGCAACGTTTGCCTTCGCTGCGGCGGCTCTTCCTTTGGCGTTGGCTGCTGTGGCTGCTGTGGTTGTTGTTGCTGTTGCTGCATATGTTGTTGCTGCAGGAGCAGGTACTGTTGTTGCGACTGCAGCATTTGCTGTTGCGCATTTTCAAGGAATGAATTTAGGATCTGCGGCAGGTCCTCCAAGGTGGTCTGTAAGCGTTCTAGTTTTTGTTCCAGACGCGAAACCCTCTCGTCGATGCCCGACCGGGAGGCGTGCATGTCAGACACCATTTCGAACATTACGTTCTGCGTCTGCAGGGACGGAAAAGAACAACACACGGAAACGTTAGAAGTTAGTGAAAATGGCCAGCGGGGAGATTCATGCAATGTTGTTCTAAGTGTGTGATGGCCAAGAGACGATTTCAGGTGCCAGTATGAATAAATCAGCTCTGTGAGGGCCAACTCTTCACATTCAATGGGGAATTGACAAAAACAGGCAGAACATCACGTAACAGACGGGCCGAATGCATCCGCGCCTTTTCCAGGCAGCAAAATCAACTTCAAAGAGATCTGCACACACGAACAGCGTATTATTTTTGCGCTCGCTTGGGCAAACAGGTTCTGGGCGCAAAAATCATCGGACAATGCATCAAGATCTGAAGATGTCATGTTGACACTTGCACAGAAGACAATCTCGAGCGGAAAACAGCGGTTGAGCTCGACTCGCTAAGGACATGAACTGCATATGTAACAGCTGCTTAAAAGTAGCAATCTTTCACATTCTGAGTAAGAAATTGATATGAGTGAAGACATGAAACAATCCCTTCTTAAGAAATCGCAGTGATCCTTATCTTCAGTTCTAAAATATCGGTGCAACTCTTGGTGGCAGCAGACGTCGGTCCTTATGCTCTAATAAACAAAAAACGAAATGGACCAGTAAGTCTGTTGCCAGCAGGCGTTGGGGCATACCAGGAACGTGTATAGATACCCATCTCCCATAACTATGTCACTGAGAAGAACTGGATGAAAAATGTGAAAGTAGTAAAGCAATGAAAAGGACACACTCTAGGCCTAAGCAAATTAATGATACAAAAACATGAGACGAATGCAAACCCGAGTGTCGCTTCACAGCCGTGTGGACTGTACTACTTGTTAAAGTACATGTAATAAAGGCTTTGCATGGTAGCCATCTTGCAGGGCAGTTCTTTTGTTCTACGGGTAAACGTCCTTTGTGCATACCCTGTGAAACAAAAGCTTTGGCCTGCAAGATTGCAGCCATGGAAACCCTCTGTAGTGATTCTGAGGTCTTGTTAAACAAAACAAACTGAATGCAATGCACATGCATGAGATGAAATGAAACTACATCACCATGCAAAAGACAAATTTCAATCGTTTATGCAACAAACGCTTTCACAAAACAGTCACTGAGCAAAGGTATGTTCTTCACACATTGGGACTATCGTTACGTAAAAACAATTAGAAACACACCAAAACAACTAATAAGAAATACAACTTAATAGATGAAAAACTAGAAACACTTGATGTTGAAAAATGGAGGCCGCGTCAAGTCAGGTATTGAACGTGCAGGCAAAGTGCCATACTTGCACGTGATACGTTTTGGCACAAGTCGTCAATACTGAGTTCATGCACGTAATGTCATTGGGCATACAGCGAACCCTCAATGCAAACCTGTATCAAACTGCAGTCATGCGGTATCTGGTTCCCCGACATCGAGACATTGCCAAATCACTCATGTTTTTGCACAAAAAGGCGGCTCTCTGCATTACTTGTTTGTCACTGGGCCTGCTATTGCCAGGTTTAATGTCAGGAAATTTGTTGGCCTACGAACAATGGGATAAAATACGCCTTTGCCGTTAAAAACCACTCGTGGTAGGGCGCTGTGTACGTCTTGCGCCCACGTACGTGGTCCTATAGCTCTTTAATAAGCCAATACAGCGTCTATTTTAGTTGGCTATGGCTTGAAATAACACAATCATCTATGAAATCCGCCAGCTGGCGGCTTCGTGCACTTTTTGGAGATGCATAAATATCATTTCTGGCCATAGCAAAGTGAATAGGACGCCGACTTATGCATCCACTGGGCCACACGGCCGCTATCATCTACACAGCGCCACCTATGCAGTAATAGACGACTGAGGCGTGATAAAGATCAAACTAGACGGCAATCAGTGGTATCAAAGTGGTGTCACCAAGAAGTTCATTTATCTTGTTAGAGGAGTGTGTGATTCTGTATCTCATCTTATACTCGGTCCCTGTAGGATCAACACGGTTTGAGTGATGAGCCATTTTGCTGAGGCCGTGTCCGTGTTTGGCTGTGGTTTGAAATTACACGAGTCTATGGTTGTGGCTGCAGCCACTTCACATAGAGTCTTGTGTAGTGACAAGCCGCAGCCAAGTGATTCGGCCTGAGAGCGTTTCTTGTGAGATGATCAAATTGAAACTTTCAAGAAGACACTAGAAACGAAAGATTTCGCTTTTGTAGTACATCATGCCGCTGACAATATGTTTTCTTATAATCGTCTCTGTAATGATTCTTATACAATTCAACAAGATCCAGGCTGTTTTCAAGGGTTAGTCTTTGAGTTTACACTACAACCAGGATGGCACCATTGACGTGCAAAATTAAGTGGAGACACTTATTGCCAACCATGATTGGGTTACCAGACCTATATATACAAAGACAGCAAGGTTGTAAAAATATCTCCAGACAAAATTATGATAACAAATGCAGGCATGTGGTTTAAACTGAACAATTAAGTCAAGTCTACAGACCGATATATCCCCCATCGACTGTCATCTAATAGGCTGTGTGCGGTTTCGTTTGGACTTGGTAAACGCTTAAGGGAGAATGTTACCCCGTGATAAATCTTGGAGCAGGACTGGGTTGACTTTTATGCGTTTATCACAGAGACATAAGGTCAGCTACGGATACGAATGTGAGATTATTGCGCTACCCGGATTGGTCTTACTCAATACTGATGCATATAGGGATGGATAAGTCGATATGAAATTCAACGCTGATACCTTCGTAGTTAGATTTTTTAGAAGAAAAATTCTTCCTGTAATGATTCATTAATTCTTTATACATTTTGAGGAATATTTATCTGAGAACATGAGAATGTAAACATTGTACTTGAAAAGGTCCACGAAATAAAACAGACAATCGTGATACTCACAGTAATAGCATGTTAGTCAGAGCGAACTGTACAACGAAATCTCACCAACAAGTCCGCGAAATCTTCTCTAAACATTCACCATGCAGACAACCGAGCATGCGTTCACTAGTGGTGATTCGGAGTCATAATGTGTATGCAATACTCGTTCTCTGAAGTCAGTTTTTGGCCTGTGCTCAATGGTGTGTTGGCCGACTGGTTATCCTAGTGCCCGATGGCAGGCATTTTGGACGTCGGCCATTTTGACCGTTATCCCCCAGGGCTTCGTCGAATAAATCCGTATTTTTTTATACTTATATCATTTTGCCGCATATGACCTCAAGACGCGACTGACATATCACCTGTCCTTTGTAAGGGTTGAGTTTTAACTTCACACTGATGTTATAAATTCTTTTTCTTTATCCATATTTCTAATGAAGCAAAAGGTTCCATTTTATCATCCGGGACAGTTCAGTGCCTTTCGACTGTTAAAGAGGTCTTCAATGTGCTCTCCTTCGGCACCATGCAAAGTGCTCAGCGATTCGAGTTCACTGCCGAACAACTTTTTTGTCCGTCTCACTGGAGTTACCAGGCGAATGAATAGTGCATACACATTAAGGCTCCAGAGTCGCCATCGGCGGAGGGAGAGACGGGTTTCCAACAAAAAAAAGTTGAGGTGATTTGATTACTGTACATAAATACCTACATGTACGTACAACACCGGAGGTTTGGACGTGTACATGGCCATTTCTGCCCGGGAAGCGCGCACGAGTAATGGCTGCAGAAGAGGGCGGGAGCGTGATGAAAAAATAAAGTGGAGAAAAGAGTGTCCATCAAATGCACATGGGGTTACAGAGAGGGTATAAAGAGAGATAGAAAAGACTATGAAGCGAGGTGGGACAAACGGCGGACCAGTTATCATTCAAATCCGTGTGTGGTTTTCAGTTGATATCTAGCAGACATAGTGAATGTACACATAAAGTGAAAAATGGTGGTGGGTGTGAACGTGGGTTTCCCAGCTTTTTCTCTATGAGATTCTCCAAAATGTGTGGGTGAAAGACCACCTAGAGCCTCAAGCCAGAGAGCAACATCGGGGTCGACGGTCATGAAGTTCTGACAGGGATGCAAAGTGGCCAAATTTTGATTATTTTGGGTGTACGACAGATTATTGCCCAAAATCTAAATCAGTTTTGGCAATTAGTCGGATGACTTTTCTTTGAGTGCTAGACATGCATGCAGATGTGCAGTGAGTGACATGCAACAAAAAGTGTGACCAGGCTTCCCGACAAAATGGATCATGCAAATTGGAAAAAATGGTGGTGACGGATGTCAAGAAATGAATGTATGAAAAAAAGTCCCCACAACAAGAAATTTTGATAGAAGTTTCCAACCACCAATGAAAATAATGCAACTTGAGATGGCACAGAGCGAGTGAGTGGGGAAAAAGAACCTCTTTTTTTCGGTGAACGAATGACAAAGTGGGTTTAACCCCCAAATGCAAGCCCCTAAAGATCCCGCTTTGATGTGTTAGGGTATCGCATGTCGAGGCAATAAGTTGCAAGATTTGCAAGGCACTTGTGAAAGCCAATGGGGTTCACACAGTAAGACGCTTCACGTGAGCCAAAAGTGATTCGGTCCACATGACTGAACCTTCGCCTTCAATAATGAACACATGTGACAGTGCATGCAAATTGAGGAGTCTTATTTTGGTAAAAGGGATTTTCTTTCACTTTTGATAGAATTTCCCCAGGTGGGGGTTCGAGACCAGATGGTGCTCCCTCTACGCCCAGAGCTCGAAGTGGCCATTTACAACATCCAACACCGACTAAAACCCAACGCCAATACACACACATAAAAACACACAAACCCTAGACCTCTACCACGGCTAAACACAGAGAATGTGGTACAATACACAACGCAGCACGTGTTCCCAGCATCCAAATTTGAGTTATAACTTCGGAAATGACGCCATCGCACAAGTGTGACGTCACACAATGGGAAGCTGATGGGGTCAACTTTGGGTTAGCTTCGCAATCTGTCGCTGGGCGATCACTTTCTCGTTGTGGCAGGTAATATCACTCGGACTTGGATTCCAGGGCAACGGGGCTGTACGGCTAATTCAGTTCTTGGACTCTTACCACATTTTGCTTTGCTCAGCAACGTAATCACGTGACCCTTTTGATCACAATGATCAATACAACTGAAGGGTTTGTTTGAGAACAAACAGAAAGCGTACCTTGGGGTAAAGTAAAAACAAACCCCAAAAAGAAAGAAAAAAACACACACAAAACAACAACAACAACAACAACAACAAAAAGAAATACTTTCAATGAGAAATGCGAATATCTCTTCCGACGAATAATAAGGCCTTGTGCCGCATGAAAGAGCCGTCTGAAAGAGCTGAGACTAGCAAGGGACTTCAACTCAGGTCTAAGTAATTGCTTCCAAAGAAACTGGACACCATGCTAAACAATTCCTCCATCTTTAATATCGAGACGACAAACATATATTTCATGCCGGCTTTCCTGCCTATATTTACCCGATTTGGTGGGTACAGCGTATCATGGTTTGTGGACATGGGTTGAATGTTTCCTTTCAGTGTTCTTATTTTGGAGCCGAAATGGAAAAATGTCGGGGCGGCAGAGGAACAGGGAGGCACATCGTCCTCGATTGAATTACGGCATTTTGATGGAAATGAATACACCAGAGTCAGTCTCTATATCCAAATTCGAAGTGAAACGCGGTGTTCTGTAGCACCCAGGCCCAAAGGGGGGGGGTGAATCATCACCTACCCTGACACGGCGAGCACAAGCTACATGCCTTCACATTTGACAACATTCTTAAAATAATTTGATATCGAAACCTTTGTCGGTGGTTTTGAATCGTCTGGTAAAAGACTTAAGCCTGAGTGGATGACCAAAATGTCTGAAGTTAGTGAAATTTAATACTGCAAGTTGCGTCTCAAATGTCTCCTTTAAAAACAGGAAGAAGGAAGCGACACCAGTTCCTGACTGCTGATCCTCCTCGTTTTACTTTTCTCTTCCCCCCGATGTTTCGGAAATACGTGAAATATAAGACGAATCAGCGGAAACATTTAAAACTCAGTTTTGTGAATGTCGCTGGAACGCTTCCAAGAGAGCTTCAGAGGGGTTTTCAAACTTTCTTGTGCATAGCTCTGAGAATGCTATGGGCATGCAGCGGTACAGAAGATGTATTTTTCTGTCTCACACTGTCTCTAAACGTTCTCGGCATTTCAGTTTTTAGATTGTGCCTACTTTAGCCTGTAGAAGGATCCTTTTGTGTGACACCTAAGAGCAAGGATCGGTTTTTGCCCTATTCAGATCTTTGGACGTGATGGCAAAATTGTAGACACGTTCACCATGTAATTCTTTAAATTTATGTTGCAGATGAAGAATTTCAGCTTGATTAGATAAGTCGCTCTGTAAAAATGTCCTTAACTATTTTGTACCGGGCCACGAGCAAGCACTTGTTCCTACGTGTGATAAACTGGGAAAACCTCGACATTTCGACATTTCTACAATTTGGGAAAAGGGTACGGCTATTCGATACAAAACTTTAAAACGTGTGCAAAAACACCATACTCAATTCGTAAAAACATGGCAAAGCAGTAATTTGGGAACTGTGCAAGGAGGAGGTTTTGCCCCGCCCTCTTTCTTGTGGATAAACCACGGACAAATATAGTCTCAATTACATTTCTGCAAGACGAGAAGAGGAGGCAAAATATATTACTCTGTTGGAAACAGCAGCTTACTGAGAAAATAATGGATGTGGCACTCCTTAATTTGTCACGGTTTGTGCTAACCGCTAATGACATTCACGCTTGGTCAAAAGACCCGGTAATTAACACCACCTCGCTCCGGCCTGCCAAGTCGAGGTCAGTCGAGACCCTTCCCCCCGCCGTCATGCACGGGTACGTCCGGAGGCGATCCGGGGTTAGTATTATGCGCCCGGACTTAATGCATAATACAGCTTTCCGCCATCAGCTACTCATGCTGAAAGCACCTTACACGACCTCCCTTTTCGACAAGGGCATCATGCCAGAAATAATTGACTTTGCGAAAGCCTTACAAAGTGTTGACCAATTTCGCGGTATAACGCTATACTGTCCTCTTTCCGTCAACTTCGTTTGGCAGTTGTCTTCCACAGTCCCCACCCAATCTTTCTTTTTTTTGGGGGGGGGGCACAATTGATTCTTCCTTTTCCTGCATAATCTCCACTTTTTGGAAAAATGTGGAAACTTGGACTTGTACCCCTAATTGCTCCAACAACTATAGGTTGGCGACCCACATCTGTAATTTGTATAGGCCAATCCCACTTGTTTTGGAAGAGCGCTGATTAAATCGACCGTTCATTTTGCATGGGAGGTCTCAACTTGTTGAATATTACTCAAACAGGTCAGCCGGACATGTTTTTAACGCATACGCATCGACGTGTATGCCCCCGTGGGAATCTACAAGTTCGTGTGCTCGGATCAGGTCACCAAAAACCCCCGACGGCAGGCAAGGGACGTACGGCCACCCGCGTAAACGTGCTCCAACTCTAGCACCCTCTCGAGTGCCGAAACCCAAGCCCGAATCCGGCGCATGGCCGGCCAGGGACCTCTGCGCGTTTCACCTTCTCCAGCATGCTTGGACCGGTCTATGTGAGCTCGTCTCCAATTATTCTCCGATGACCGCGACTCGATTCTAAGACACACTCTGCGATGCACCGCCGAGTGCGGATTAAACCTTGCCGCTGGAGAAGCACTCCGTAACGGTAACCCCGCTCATCGACGCGACTTGACAACGTTGTTGTTCTTTTCTCTCGTCTTCGACGAGCCCTCAGGTTTTTCCGACGCCATTTTGACCTATTTGCATAATTTAAAATCAGCCGAAAGTTGGAGAGTAATTAGGTCAGGACAGTTGGCAGCATATTTATTTGTACAACAATACATGGGCTTCACTAACTTCTCTGTGGAATAATTCAAGCACCAACTGGTACAAATTCGAGTAAGGGTCGAATCTCTGCATGCTAGGAATGTATAAAATAAACGACAGTTTCAGCATGTTGGCATCGTGTCAAAGAAATCTGCACAAATTAAAATACGCTAAGATTAACTGATGTTTTTGCAGCAACACCAAGGGTGTAAGATCGAGTCCAGTTTGATGAGTGATTACTGACTGAAAATAATATCAGCTGAAACTATCAAACATCATTCTGCCTTCAGTTACTTTTCAATGAAACCCATCCATTTAAAAATGGACCAGCTATTGAGTAGGGCCAACGGAACCCAGGGGTTTTCCTGCAAAGAATAACCGGCTGCAGAAGTGAGCCCTATTTAACATCTGTGTTCCTTTACAAAAAGTGTCATCACAAATCATATCTTTAAAAAATCACAGCTTAATCATTACATTATTTATTTGAACTACGCCCGGACTCTTCTCTCCAATTTTAGAAATATTTACACTTCGATGATAAGCCGTATTTTCATTCTAGATGTTTTTCAATTCCACGCATTGTTAGACATAAGTTCACAAGTGAAATTTTCATTTCCAGTCTTAGGTTATTTGAGACATTTTATCTTTAATGGTTTGTTATAATTCAAAATCAAGCCAAAAGCGTGTGGACAGCAATTTAATGTTTGGAAGGATTTTGGAATTGTTTTAAATTTAGTCAATTTTCTTGCTAAAACTTGAACTTTGTATTTTTTCGACACTTGCACTCTACACCTTATAAAGAGCATTGAAGACTCCGAGAAAATTACAAGAGCTTCACCTTCAAGCACATTTTATTAGGCTCTACATGCCAGGGAGTCGCGCGCGTTGCTTGATCCCTCTAGCTCGAAAACAATTTCTCTCCAAATGTCAAGATGGCGGGGCGCAGCAAGGCTTGGAATGCATGGAAAGTGATTTGTCACATTGTTGATGAGCCAGAGAGCCCAGGCGCCTCAAGAATCAGTCGACGGAACCGTCAGCTGCAGGTCCTGTCGACCAGTCATCCCAACCCCATGCAGCTGGTCGGCTGTCCTTCAGGTATGTTATATTAGCGTTGGTAAGGCGCACCGCGCCGCGGCTGTTGTGCGGGCGGGTGGGGGAAAAAAAGCGAACATTCGGGACGCGATACGATCGTGTTTAAGGCAAGATGCAAGGTGTCACCCCCTTCAACTCCAGCAAACGTTTGGTGTTCCAGGTACCAGATTATTAGCTTATTCCAGGACCCTGGATTTAAGTACGTGGGCGATGTTGATTGCCTGAACTGACGAAAGTCGTGACAGCGACAAATATCGATGAATATTGCAGAAGAGTAAAGAAAACATGGAACATTACTTGGCAAGATGTTTTGAAATAAATACACTGTGCACAACAAAATTGGCTAAAAAGGCTTTGAAATTATGAGTGAAACAGTCGTGTAACCGTGGTCCTATATTTCTCACCAACTGATAACCTATACTGGGCGAGAGAGCTTTAATTTCATCGGGCGTTGCAGGGTTGAGTGGTGAAGCGTGTATATCCTTCATGGAGGCATATACCGGTCTCCTAGATAGTCAAGGTCTGAGCTGTTGATTGCGAGCCCGGGGCTATTCAATGGGTTTTTCCACACATGTCGCTTTTCTGGATGGAATTTTTGTTTTCTTTCTTGAAGAAACAAGAGACGGGAATGGGAAGGCAATATCACTCAAAGAAACGACGTGTTCAGTAAGATACATCAAAAGTCAATTTTCAGTCAATCGCTAGAATTAAGAAGTGACGGGGTGTCATTTTGTCAGGCAATCGCAAAAATATTTCTAATACAATCACCCCCAAACACTTAACCCAAATATTATTTCATTACAATAGCTTGTAAGTGCCATTTGACGAAAAGTCAAAAGACACGAGGCATATGGCAATAGGCAACTAGCGCTTCACAAGGATCTTTCTGGACGTTTGCATAAACTGTGTGCATGCCAGTCAATCCCCATAATCTGAAGTACTGACCCCGAAATAAGTGGCCTTTTCGCCCGTTCTTTAAAATATTAACAATAATACTGGCTGAAGCCCACCGCCACTGCGACGAACGGCGTAATTAAAGCACGCTCGATTACCGAACGGCAAAAGCAGCGTCAGGAGGGATGATCCGTGGGAGTGTTTTCTTAATTTATGAACGCCCATGTCCCTGACCCATTCTGAAAATCGATAAGTGGCAATTTTGAGTGGGGCCTATGACATTATTTTCCAGAGTGTGTCAATTTGTATATCAAGTAAAATGGGCGACGGTGATTATCGCACCGATACGCATAGAGCGTTGTTGGAAAGGCTGCGCGACAACCGCTCCCTCTTGGAAAACAAAATGGCCACTTCAAACAGCACATATATCAGGTGGAATTAAGCACGTCCATTAAGGGCCCAGAAAGTGGAGCAAGTGGGTCCCGCAACTTCATTTCTAGTTCTTGACACAAATTGTTTAAATCGTCCTCCGCGTATTGAAGATTTGACGTGCGTCGTCATTCCTATTAGGGACTAAATTAGGGGGCGTATTCGAAACCCCTGTTGTCCAGGGACTCGCGGACATTGTTTTCGGGATGCTGATCGCGAACGTCCAAGCGTAAGAGGAATGAAGTTGGGCAAAAATTCAAGACAGCAGTAGCCGTATTAACAATGAATGCGAAGATGAGATGATATTTAGGATCTTACGATAATTTAAATCCAAAATAGTCATGTTATTATATACATTGATGAATGTAAATTCTCTTCGACAACCGTGTATATAAACCTGTGGTTTTATTTTCCTCCTGAGTATTTCTATTTCATGAGGAAAAAAATAGCAAATTAAAAAATTAACGTCAAGCTGAGGTATGTGCCTAGTCCGCCATAGTTGCTCTTGACGTTCCTCATCCACTTCCCCGTAAGTTAAGTGGGAAGAGAGAATCCTGTTATAAGCAATGTTCGCGTGTTGATTCTGGTCATTCGGAACTCTGATCTCGTGTTTATCCGACACAAGAACAGGTTTCGAATACGCCCACTGTGTACAACCAACCGTTCATACATACAGATATTTCAATCTATATGGGTAATTCCAGAAATTAGGGGTCCATTTTTTTGTGTCCCTGTCACATCTGACGTATGATTTTATAAGTTCAGAATAGATTTTCTAATTTCCAAGAGTGATGAATTAATGCAAATTGCCTGCCAAATAAATATTAATAGTTTGAAATCAATTCCAGTGATGTTTCCATGCCAACAAAGGTCAGATGTAACAGGGACACGAAAATGTCACACTTTTGGATCCCTAATTTCTGGAATTACCCATATACACGCTGTTCAGGTGGTTACATGAACACCATAAAGTTGTTGTAACTGAGACCCAATCACCGCGAATCGTGAGTAAAAAACATGCGAAGAGTGCAACATCGGGAACTGGGCCTAGATTATAAATGGAACGTGCCTAGATCAGATGGATGGATGAGGTTTGGATGTTGTTTATAAGACAATGCGCCCTCTACAGACGTTTGGTGTAGGACGAGGAGACAGCGCCCTGGCCTCAAGTTATACAGCGAATGGGAAAGATGGTCGGTCATGTAAAAATGATACTGTTAGGAAATGAGTGCAGTATGGAGAGCGATTAAGGGCCACAACTTCCTCGATATCTCCTTTTCTCCCCTGACTGAGCTCTATCTTTTTTCCTGTGAAACGTATTCAGGCACAAAGGGAATGAGTATCACGGCGTTTTTTCAGTCTTCAGATTTTCACATTTCTATCACACATGTCACAGCTTGGAAGAATTTAAATATTTTGTTGAAGTTCTCAAGAAAGCTTTGTAAACCAAGGCAATGCCAGTGAACGACGTATTTCATGAGACCAGCCTAGCTGTGGGCGCTTTGGCTGAACAGGCTTATGTCAAGTTAAGAAAATGGAGTCGAGCTTCTAACAGGATGACAACCAGAAAGAAACCTGTCCCTGAGATGCCATAAGGGTTTTACAGTTCGAAACTGGATGTGGAAAAGAAGTTTCATCATTATCTACTACTGACTACAATCGTACATATCACGCATCCTCACCTTTGCCATGTCGACGACCGTACTAGCCTCGTCCGCTAACTTTCTTTGATCTAACTTCGTTTTCCTAAGCCTAGAGAGAAAGAAAAGGGGATTTAAAAAAATGTAAGAAATGAATTTGACCACGTGTAGAAATCGTGGCAATTTATGCCGTCGTGTTACGGATTTGTACCGACAGCAAAATGCGAATCCTTGAACGTTTCAACACACTGCAGGGACTGACGGAAATCAAGGGACTGTTCTTAAACTTTAATCGCGGCAAAGTGGACAGCCGCGAGGCATGCAGATTCGAAGCGAACCCACATCGTGCAATCAACGGATTCATCGATCTCGGCTTTTGAGGCTCTCAAGGCCAGGAGTTTTTTGTTCCGAATTCTTAAGCATTCGCCAGAGTGCTGGCTTTAAGTATGGCTGGTCTTGAGAGACGATATAAATAACAGATATTAATGGCAAAAAGTATAGGCCTATTGCATATTGCGCCACCCTTTGTCATTATGAACAATAAGTGCTGCTTTACTCCAGCCAAAATTTCGTATGTGAAGTTTGATTCCATCCCGAAGCCAAAGGCAGAAACATCGAAGGTAATGGTTTTGTACTTGTCGCGGAAAACGTTATGAATTTAGGGTTGGGGAATGTCAACAACGTATTCTGCTTCAGTATTTTTTGGCGTTTTGTGGTCACGAGCGCCCGTGGGGTCATAAGCGCGCGTTCTGGCGGTGTCCTCGAAGCATACGTGCATCACACGCATCCCTTCATCTGTTGCCAGAGTTACCGGTCCTGCTTCGGATGACGTCACAAGCACACGGACAGGAAAAAGCCCACCTTCTTCACGTCGAAGAGTTCCGCTCAAATACAAGTCTCAAGCCGAGAGATCTGCATCTGGCCGCTTTTGCTAACACTTCCCCCAAGACACGGCTCCTTCAACGCTGTTCCGCCATTTCAAAATGCTTCCTGGATTCGGACCATTTCGGCCCTTAAAAATTCTCAGAATGTTTGCCTGACATATTTGATTTGAACTGTCGTGGGCTTTTAACATGGCCACTGTTTTAGCTCAGGTGCTTATAATGCACTGACCTGCTTTCATGGCACTAGTGGAAAACAAGATTTTCTTAACATCAGGGGAATGTAGAAGAAATTGATCTATGAATACACATGGATTTAACACTTTTCAGATTAGTGCATCTCCGATTTGTTTGCACAAAGAATTTATCGACTGTTCAAATTGTCACTAAATATACAAACCCACGGCTTTGAGTGAAACGTTTGACATAGGCTTGCAATTTTAGATCCGATGAAAACCAAACATAATTCTGAAATGTACACATCAACTGTTTAATCTCTAAACAGAGCTTTCTGCTGCTTTTCATCTTTGTTTGTCAGACTTCTTCTCTCCATTTGCATGGTAATGGCGGGACATTCCTAGTACGTACAGAGACTTTGCGGTCATTGCGTTCATGCATTCACAAAGCAAGGATACATTTTCGCGGAACTAGGGCCCTAGAGGATCATGAGATGCATATAACAAAGTCGGGAAATGCCTCATCAGTCCGGGAAAATAAAAGTTCCCCCCTCTCGGCTACGGGCAACCAGCTATGGGTAACTGTACACCAAAGCACTCCATGGGGATCAGTCATGTCAGACATTGCCCCCAACTGACGACAATGCACTGCAAACATACGGCACAGCCGGCTGTCAATTGAACCTTTAGGAGAGAAAAAAAAATGAAATGTCTACGGGACAATGTCATCGATTCCCACCGGGCATTCCTGCCGCACACGACTTTATGTGCCCGAGGCAGGCATACGGAAAACCCTTACGGTATATTTCCAAAATTCATACGCAGCTCTGTGGAGGGCTTTCTTTCTGTCCAACTTCTGAGGTTGAAAAGGAAACAGCCCGTGTGATCCTCACTAGCTTTTCGAACTTATTTACATCGTGAGGAAACAGTGTTAATCTTTCCTAAAAGCTGGGAATAAGAGCAAAAGTCGAGTGGTATTTGTGTGAGTACATCTTAAGTTTAATTGGGTCTAAGTTTAAAAAATTACTTTTCAAAAACAACACCAAATGTCGATCGTCTCACAAATCCTACGCACATATGGTAGAAAACCTATCCAAACGAAAAAAAAACCCGCCCATACTTTATACTGTTTTTCAAGGAGATAGGAACACAGAACCATAAAATGTAAGTTCTGTTTCATACAGTTATTGAATTCGGTAAGAAGTATCACCTCTTTTTTTTTATCATGCAGTGTAATGTTTAAGCAAAAGGATAATGGAGACATCTCGAAGGAGTTTTTCCTTCCGATTATTAGAAGAGATCTGCGGGCCTACATGTGCAGATTCTATAGAACACACGTATCAACAACCTCATTAACTATCCCGCGTATACGACTGACGGAACAGTTCTTTGAACTACCGAGAAACATGCGCACATTAAATTTTGTCGCCTACGCTGGTAACCTGACTGTAAAGCTGATGGTGAAAAATTGCACACTATGATTACGACAACCTAACGCAAAGGTCTTCAATAACCCTGCTTCAATAACAGGCCTCATACCAAGAAATCTTACACGCCCGAGACGATCTAAGGGACAGGGAACACGACCGCTGAAGGATGGTGTTATTTTGCTGAAGCCCTGAATTCCATCCACATAATGCCTAGAACTCAGTCTTGGCTAACTCCCTTCTCAGATCACGTACCTTCGTCATGGCGTGAACCGTGAAGCGAGGGCCCAACGATCCGAAAGCCGCACACCGTGAATCCTCAAGTATTCTCACAAAGAATACGTGCCCATGACAATGATGAGCAAGCACAAGCGCGCAGGTCCCGACCTGAAAGGTGCGAAACTTACGCGCCAAGAATCCTCGCATAACAATCAATCATTTGTAGTGAGATAAAACGACACCTGGTTTTGCTGTTTACTTGAACAATCAGTAAATGGCTGACAGAAAAGTGGGATAATTGTGCAATCGGAAAAGAGGTTGCATTTTTTACAGAGCATTTTCAAATTGTCAACAGTTATTTTGTTTGTTGGTTAATGAGATACGTCGAGACTGGAGAATATTCCCCGGCAGAATAAAAATATTAATTGAAAATGGCCAAACTATCGTTTCCATAAAAGAAACGAGAGAGAACTGCCCTTGGAATCAAGAAAAACAAATGAAATCATCATCTCAACTATCAATATTACAGAAATACCGAAGATATTTGGAATTTATTTCCGTATTGAGTATGCTCATGTTTATATCTATAAAAGAGATGATACAATGGACCTCAAGAAACTCACACACGCTCATAAAAGGACTGAAATGTCACTTATCATTCGTAACCGATGCTTTTTTCCCGAAGAAACAGACAAGTGTTAATAGCTGCCAATCAAACAGGTGAAAAAGATAAGGTTGCTGGATATGAAATTTTCTGCAGTTCACAGTAGATTTGAGTGTTAATACGAGATTACATGGTACCTCACTTAATTTTGCACGCGTGAATACACTTCTGACACCCTAAGCAGATTTTTGTTCTTTTTGTCTGTACCTCTCTCACACCCTGTGGCGTCGTAAGGCTGATAATGATAGAAGTAGTCGAGTGCCAAACACGCAAATAATGACTCGCCATCAAAGATGGAGGCACACGCAGAGACAAACTACATATACCAAGCCGACAGGGGATACGTGTACGCTCCAGGGCACCGGGGAAAAATTAATGCTTCCCTGGTGCGGATGTACGGGTGAGTACGAATTATACATAGCCGCGTACAGCGCTCTGCTCTGTCACCGGTCGCGTGCCTAAGTACGAATGGCTTGACGTGCCCACGCTATCAACACGAGCCCATTCTACAGGTCACGTCATGGAGGATAAGGGCAGTAGCCATGAATAATTGTTGTCCCACAATGCAACATGGATCGAAGGATAACTGAGCTTGCATCCAACGAGGCCCTAGCACCACAATGACGGCCCCTGTGACGTCAACGTAATGCGCAAATCTTATAAGAGTATATAAGAGATACTGCAAACCGAATGAAAACGTTCGGGTCAATTGTGGCAAATTTAAGTACTGAGAGAATAATTTTGGTGATGGAAAGTAGGAAATGGAATGTCGTGCATTTTGTGCCAGACAATCGATTTTTTAGGTACACATATGTATGTGCGGTTCTGGCAAATTTAACGAGGAGTGTAGCGGAGGCCACATCTAAAATACATGAAATTTGAACTTGCGAGAAATCTTGACCATGAGCCCAGCACATAGCAGCAACAAAAACCAGCCACTGCAGTACGAATTTTATGCCATATCGGCATTAAAAAAGTTCCAGTTTTTGCCAACTCGAACTCCGCGCGTAATTCAAGAAATTAATAAAATAAATATTGCGCCCTCAGGCTACATCGTCGTCAGTCGCTGCCAAACGTCACTCCAAAAAAACCTAAGACCAATCCCACTCAAAATTACCAATGCATCGCGCCCGGATCGCTTCGTAAATAGCGGTCATTATTACCTCCGTCATTGTCAGATTCAATGAACGACTCAAGCCCAGTGACAGGCAGCCAGTTCGACCAATTTGTTAGCCAGAGACAAACACGACATGGTTCCCTCACCGTCCCCAGGGCAGTAATTAGTTGTCTGATCCCAGCACACCAACAACGTCACCCAGAGCCCACCACGCGTGTTTCCCCAACTGGTTCTTTGTTTGCCCTCGGATCAGGCATGGATGTGCCTTTCACGTCGGCTGCCATTACTACTGCGGGAGCTGATTCGGGTGCAATCGTTTGAAAAAATAAGGTTGTTTTCGGGGAGTGCTGTCGCGTTTAATCGAGGGCCGACCGGCCGATGTGCATTTCTACTTTAAGAGGAAAATAAAGGGGAATGTTTCTTGAAACAAAATTGCGAATTATATTGCTGTGCACTGACAGAAGACCCAAGGGCAATACGCTAGATGCACGTGATAAGTGATAAGCTTGATTCGTTTCTCCCCGGTTGTAATCTAAATGTAAAAAAATAAGCAAAAGGGATTTTGGCTTTTTTCACAACGCAGGCATATTACGGGCACATGTGTCTCGAATTCAGAAATTTACTTTTA